TTATTAATATATTAATTAATATATATATATATATATATATATATATATACCGTATAATTATCTAACCAAAAATGTCTAGCTATAAACTATACGCCCCTAATTATTTGAGCGCACGTTGCTAAGAGATCTCTGCCCCTCAAGTGGAATAAAAGTGAAGGTTCATGATTGAACTAATTAATTCATGCAGAATTTTTTGATTATCGAACAAAAAGAAAGTTAAGCTTTTAAACCTAAAAATACCAATCTCCACAACCCTTCCACTAGTGGCTGTTTCGTTGTCTGCAACCGAGAAGCATGGCCAGCTATAGCTGGTAATGTTGAGAAACAAGCTTCACAATTGAGCAGTGTATTTGCAATGCAAAAAAGATGCTTGTTTGTCTCCTCGATCACCATATACAGAATACCTAAGAACCAATTATATCCTCTTCCTCTATAGGACTTCTTGGGTTATGCGGGCTCTTTTTGATAACCAAACAAGTGAAGTGACTTCGGTAAAAATGTTGCTTTTCTAGAAATAATTTCACTTATATTTAGTATTTGTATTAGTCAGCTGGGGACCTCTTGTGTAGGCACTATTTACAAAAAATTCATTGTGTTTCTAGAGAGGTATATAACCTCTATATTGCTAATAGAAGCTTGCCCTATTTTTTTCCAATAATAGGGCTATCCTTTCTATCTTCCAATCATTTAAACGCCTCCTAAAAGAGATATCCCAAACCTTTATGGACCAACACTCCTGAATCGTCACCTCAAGGTTTACACAAATAAGAAATAGGTCAGGGAAAACCTCTTTTAAATGAGTTTGATCAATCCACCTATCCCTCCAAAATTTGTTTATGCTCCATTGTCAACCTTGAGGCAAATATTGTCTTCCACTAATTGTCACATTATGTCTATCCTTACTTTAGATCAAAAACAAAAAATGATAACAACAGTAATAGGAGGTATCCATAACACAGTTTGCAGGAGAAGCAATAAGATTTACAGCAGCACTAAGATTATCACACAGGTAGAAAGCATATTTGACCTCTAATATACACAATTACATAACGTAAATGCTAAATGTATTCCGTCATACTATTCTATGAACTGCTATGATGAATTGGTCTGAAAAAGGAAAAGAATGCAAAACAAACAAACAGAAGATAAGTATACATGCAATAACAAATCTGAAGCCAGCACAGACTTCACCGAGAAAAATCAAAGCAATTTTCTTTAATTTAAATACAGAAGCAAATTTATTTAACAACAGTACTTCAAAGTGAAATATCAAAACCAAGACAAAATGCTTCCCGGCCTCACAAAGAAAAGAAACTCCAGTAACTCGTAAGGAAAGCTTTGTGAACCAAAAAAAATTGCAAAATTACGAAACTAATTGAAACGTATATTTAATTTTAGTATGAAGGAAAAGCATTACGCACCTGAAATTCGAAGCAAGGGCATTTCCACAACGCTGCAAGTGTAGTTGCATACAACATCTATTATGAACTTGTGATCATAAATAAGTTCTGCAAGAGAATAGAAAAAGGCAAAACAAAAAATGATTCCGATCAGCAAGCTGCGAGATAAATTATTCAATAAAGAATAAAAGGAAACCTGTCGGAAAACGCAGTTAGTTTAGAAGCAAAGGTGAAAATTGAGTTTAGCTTTTAAAAAAGATAAGCATACGATACCAAATATTTACTTTCTTCTTTCTCAGGAAAGAAATAGAAGAAAACTGTGAATTGAACCACCGCCATGAGAGGAAGAACAAACATTGCGAGTTCATCCTGGAGTGATCGATCGAAAAGTTAATCGGACAATTCGAGGAGAAGATGATGAAGATGCAATAAGAATTGAAAGAAGAGAATTCGATATGCGTTCGCAGCAGAAACAGTAGGTTTCGACGAGAGAGGGGAACAACAATATATACGTGAGCTGTGAATGATAAAAACGACGGGGAAATTGGGATGAGAAACTCTAAGCAGAGTGGGGCAAGGGTTGAGAAATTAGGGGTGCCCCCACCAGATATGATTTGGGTTCCTTTGATTCTCTAGGGACTGCTGCTGTTCACTGGTAGCGCCCAAATGATGATTATTTTATGGTGTGTTTGTATATGTTTTTTGGGGGACTTCTTCTTTTCTTTATTGTGACGATCAGGTGAGTAATTTTTAAAGCATTTTCTGCAATCTCATGGATTCTCTTACCATTACAAAATATTTGCTTGTTAGAACTTTTTATTAATTAATTTAATTGAAATAATACTTCCTTCATTCATGGTTATATTTTACTTTTTAAAAGTCAAACAATATGAAATTTAATCAACATTTTAATACATATATCTTAATTATTGTTATTATATTAGTAATACGAGAGGATCTGTAACTTTTATTATTTTTCTATTTAGTTTATGAATATTTTGATATAAAATTAAATTATTGAATTAATTTAATTTAATATATCTTCAAATATTAGTTTTATTGATTTCATAAACCGCAACATAATAAGTAAAATTTAATGGAGACAAATATTTATTTGAAAAAGATTTAAAAGTATTACATTTAATATTCATGACAAATTTGTAATTATTTAAGTGTATTATGTAATAACTATATATATTTAGTGTAATTCTAAAATTGAGAACTCGAAAAAAGTGATAGTCCTTTTTGAAAGACCTTAGCTAATTATTCAATATTGTAATTAATATGTATCTAGAGTAGCTAGAGATAAATGATTTCTTTTATATAAATATATATTTTTCAAATATCTACGTTTAGCTTTTGCTAATTAACTTCTATTTTTTAAAATGTAACTTATGTAATTATACTTTAGCGACCAACATTACAACAACAATTATATTGAAAAAAAATGATTGTGAAAGTTTTTCAATGGCTTAATAGTATTTTTGGTCCCTTGATATGACTAAATATAAAATGTATTTTTTAAGTATATTCGTGAAACTAATATTCAAATTATGTGTTAGCTCATATTATCATCTAAATACAATAAATTTAAAAAAAAAAAATAGTCCAAAAGCACACTTGACAATTAGCTTACGCAAATAGGAAATTTTCAATAACTAAAGAACCAAAAACATTGTCCCTTCTAAAATTGTCATATCTAATAGAATTGATTTTTTACTTTTGTTTTAATTTCTCTCCCCCGGATAACATAAAATTCTCAATTGTATAAATGGATCTCTCACATCTCTCTTTTTCTCAAGAAGCATACTACAAACTCTTATAGTCGCAAGTTAAAAAGAAAATATTCACTTTCATTTGAACAAACAGACAAATTTAAACTCAAATAATTTTTAAATAAAACACACAGTAAATCAAAGAATTATTGAACACTTTAACTTTAAAAGAGTAACTAAGACTAATATTTGTCATAATTGCAATGACACTATAGTTGTATCATTCTTTTATTTTTGCTTATTGTCATCTCTTGAAGATGTCTGATAGCCTTTAAAAAGACACTTATTTTCTCATATAAGAAGCTATTGTCATCTCATGTAATACTACTTATTACATGTTTTGTTTTGTTATTTTTAAATTGATAAATTTGTATTCTTTGGCGTTAAGGGTATGTTGGCCATCACTAAAAGTTAAATTACAGACTTCCTATCGAATCTATAATTTGTTCAGTATCTTATATACATAGTTATTAACAACAAAAAAGTAAAGATACAATACAATTCCATTTGAATTTACGAATGGAATTGAATTTATCTTCAAAGTATAGCGTTTCTCTCCCTCCATATTGATCATCATATACATGAGGGAATCAATTTCCACCATCTCTTTCGAGCTGGTAATGTTGAGAAACAAGTTCCACAATTGAGCAGAATATACAGAATATACCTAGGAACCAATTGTATCCCCTTCCTCTATAGGACTTCTTGGGTTATGCGGGCCCTTTTTGATAACCAAACAAGTGAAGTAACTTCGATAAAAATGTTGCTTTTCTAGAAATAATTTCACTCATATTTAGTATTTGTATAAGTCAGCTGGGGACCTCTTGTGTACGCACTCTTTACAAAAAATTCATTGTGTTTCTAGAGAGGTATATAACCTCTATATTGCTAATAGAAGCTTGCCCTATTTTTCCCAATAATAGGGCTACCCTTTCTATCTTCCAATCATTTAAATGCCTCCTAAAAGAGATATCCCACACCTTTATGGACCAACACTCCTGAATTGTCACCTCAAGGTTTACACAAATAACAAATAGGTCAGGGAAAACCTCTTTTAAATGAGTTTGATCAATACACCTATCCCTCCAAAATTTGTCTATGATCCATTGTCAACCTTGAGGCAAATATTGTCTTCCACTAATTGTCACATTATGTCTGTCCTTACTTTGTCCTTCTATAAGGCTTTTTTTTTTGGCTTTATTCATAAATATGTTAGGTGAAAGGTATTTGTAAAAGCGTGTTATAAAACAACAATTCTCATATTTTCATTAAAGTAGCGATGGTCTCCTCTCCTTTAACACTAGCCTATTATTGATAAAGATTTACATTGATGTTGATGATAGCTTAGATTACAAAACCTCCCATTTGAATAACTAGACATAAAAGAAAAAAGTATGGAAAGTTGTGTCTACCTTATAGTTGTACTACAAGATGCATCGCTACTTTGATTTCAAAATGAAATAGTATATAAGTAAAAGACAAATAAGATAGAACCTAGAGAAGCTAAACATATATAAAAACGTTGGGAGAAAGAGAGGGAAAAAGGGAATCAAAATAGATAAGATGGCTAAGGTCGGTCTTGGATAAGAGAATCTCCACCTTAATTATAAGGTAATTCTAGTTCAAATTATTCTCATAGGTAATCTTTGCCTTATGTCTAGCTTCTTTTCTTTGAAGTTATCTTTTTACTTTGTTCGCTTCTTATGCCAGTAGATTTCATATTCTTTTAGCTTGATTTCATAAGTGAACATTAATTTTAAATTGAAGAAATATGCAAAAAGCGTCTTTCATAATTCTTAGTAAGCTTACTATCACTTAAGCTGAACCTATTATAAGATAAAGGCTTTTTGAATAAGATGTCTTAGAAGATAAAGACAATATTGCTAAGTGAATGGTGAAAATCTCTACTCTCTTTAAGGAAAAATGAAATACTTAATTGAGGAGGTGAAGTGGGCCAAGAGGTTAACTTGCTCATTTGCATAAAATCCTATGAATTGATTGCGGGGGATTTAGGTTTGTTAGGCTAGCCATCATCTAGTTATTGGTTAATCAACATCATATAATGCTTACTGCGAGGGCAAGCTTTAACTTTAATATGTAAAATATCTTTTAAAAGATTTAACTTTAATGAATAAAATATCTTTTAAAAAATCTTTCTCCTTTCTTTCTATTAAATAAGGTCTTAGACCTAATTCATATCCAAAAAATAAGCTTAGAGAGAGGAGGACTGTCAAAGCCTTGTAAGGGGTTCATCTATCTCATTAACCACTAATATGGGACTTTTGTCATTTTTAAACACTCCACCTCACGTCTAGAGTTTTTTTCTTTTTGTATCAAGTAAGTTTGTATTCTTCAACATTAAGAATACATTCGTCACTAGGGGTGTCAAATGGGCGGGATTGGTTGAAATTGGAAATATTAAAATAGGTTGAATAGAAACCGGGTTGGATCTTGACCCGTCCAAGTTTACTTTGCGCTCAAATGAGTTGGATTCAAATGGGCCAAAAAATGGGTTGGTCTTGACCCGTTCAATTTGACCTGATTAATCTCAATAATTTAACAAATTGATATTTAACTTTTATAATCACAATTTGAATTTTCACTCAAGAATTTCTTGTTAAAAAGGTAATAAATGGATAGATAAATCCTAAAAGATATTAAATAGATAATAATTCATACTTCAATATAGGAACATATCTAAATAGAAAGTTTTAAAATAGGTTGAAATTAGAGATTAAATTGGGCTCAATGAAGAATTTTCTTCAAATGAGTTAAGCTTGAATTGATTAAGATTGCACCCAATTCAAATTATCTTGAGCACATCCCTTATAATTTTGGACGGGTTACCTATGTTTGGTTTCATTTTTGACACCCCTACTCATCACCACCAAAAAGTTAAACTACAAACTCCATATCAAATCTATATTCTGTTGAGTATCTTCTATACATAGCTCTTGCACCAAAAAAGTAAAGATACAATATAATTTCATTTGTCTTTATGAATGAAATTGAACCAATCTTCGAAACATCTGACATTTCTCTCCGTCCAAACTGACAATCATATACATGAGGGAACCAATCTCTTTCGTCTATTACTTCTCCTTCATCTAATACAAAAGCTAAGAAGGTTTGTTGCCAACTATAGACAGTAATGTTGAGAAACAAATTTCACAATTGAGCAATGTATTTACAATGCAAAAAAAAGTGCTTGTTTGTCTCTTGAGTCACCATAAACAGAAAACACCTAGAAATCAATTGCTTCTCTTCCACTGTTGCACTTCTTGAGTTAGGCAAATCCTTTTGATTGCCAGTAGTGAAGCACTTAACTTTGGTAGGAATGCGTTTTTTCCAAAAATAACTCCACTAGCATTGAGCATTTGTATTAGTCATCTACTGTAGACACACTTTAGAGAAAATGTCACATTATCATTGTGTTTCCAAAGAGGTATATCAACCTCCATACTGCTAAAAGAAACTTTCCTCGTTATTTTCAGGGCTACTTTCTCTATCTTCTAATCATTTAAACGCCTCCTAGAAGAGATATCCCAGCCCTGTACGAACCAACACTCCTGGATTGTCCCCTCAGAGTTTACAAAAATAAGAAATACGTCAAGGAAAGCCTTCTTTAAAGAAGTTTGATCAATCCACCTATCTCTCCAAAATTTTGTCTTTGCTACATTACCAACCTTGAGGCAGGCAAATATTATCTTCCATTAATTTCCAATATTAATTGACATAAATTAGATAGTTATTTTGGATGTATTTGCCTGGTGATCGGAGATTATAAAAGTATATTGACCGTAATTATTATAGATGTCCAATCACTCTTGATGCTCCATTTCGACACCAACCAATATTCAACTAGATACTCTAATTTTTGCTTTAGAGAAATACATTTTTCCAATTCCTTGACCGGGTCTTAAACCGAATGATGCCAGAAAAAAATTCTCAAGCACTAATATTTGTCTATCATGCATAGACAGTTACTGAAGAAGCAATAAGTTACTATAGACTAGTACTGATTACTAGATGTGTCAACAATCAAGCACAAAAAATCATAGTATAGAGAACTAAAGAATGGTTTGGTAGGATGTATTACCGAAAATAATATATGCATCCGTACTAACACATCTCATTCTTTTCAATTTTTATACCTCCAACCAAATGATTCCTAACATTAAACCACACAGGCACCTAAAGCTAGTTTCAATCATACACTAACAAACTCATGCCAAAAAATACACTACGTAACTTATGCATTATTGAGTTGATCCTATGAGAAAATATGGAGCTCCCACAGATTCCACTAAGCAAAAAATAATTACAGTTAGAAATACTTAAATGTAAGATGCTTCTAGTCTTCATCAGTATTAACTATACCGCACCTGAGAAAATAAGCGACGGTTTGTCCACAAGCTGAGTCGTGATGAAATGTCATGTCTTCCAAAACCTTTTGATCTGAAAATTCCAGTAGAAAAAGCAATTAAAATATGGTCACGGTTTACAAGTTGTGCCAAAAAAGCTTGAGGGAAGAAAATAAAATATGACTAGAAGTATCGAAAACCAAAATCCGTACAGAATAAAAGGTGAAAATTGCCTTTGGCTGTCGAAAAAAAAAATGAAAAATTAAGCTAAAATGGAAAAGCAAACTACACAGATAGAAAATCGGTGAATGAATCAACGCCATTAAAAACGCGAGAACAAGCACTGATGAGAAGAAAACCTTTAGCAAACGGCACCGGAAAAAATTGATCGTACAACTCGATTCAAAGAGGATCCGAGAGATGAGAGAACTACCGAAGAATAGTGAGTGATTACTGTGGTATTTGATGCACAAAATGGAGATGAAAGACATGAATACGTGCCTGTAACACGAGTTCGATTCTAGAAATGGAAGGAGAGAGAGAGAGAAGGGAGAGGAATGGTGTAGAGAGAGAAAGGCATGAAAAATATCTTTAGGGTGAATTGAGGACTTTATATAGTGGGGTTGTGAAATAGGGGGTAGTTTGACGGGTTGTGTGATTCTCTTGGTCCTGCTGCTGTTTCAATGTGGCCAACTAGTCATTATATATTATGAGAAACCCGGGTTACTTTTTCTTTTAGGGGGACAGCTGGCTGTCTCACCTCGGCCAACTTGTAAATTTTTTTTAATTTATACTCTCTCCGTTCAATATTATTTGTCATGGTTTCTATGTTTAGAGTCAAACTATAAAAATTTTAATTAACATTTTAAGATGTATTTTTTATCATATTAATACAAAAAAATTACAATTTATAGTACTTTTCATATAACTTTAGAATATCTAATTTTTTTTGTTTAACATATTGAATTAATGTAATCTAATTTAACTTTCGAAAACGCAACATGACAAACAATTCCGAACGGAGGTAGTAAAATATAAATCGTTTTGATGAGCTATAAAAGATATAATAATCTCAAGATTACATAATTTTTTTATGTTGTGTTTGGTTAGAGGTGTTAAATGATTTTTAAATTATTTATTTATTTATATCTTAGTAATATGATAGATTATTATATATATTTTAAAATAATATATTTAGAGATTATTTCCAATCAAATGACACGATCCATAAATGTTTAACATTATTATAAGATTCGAATTAATGTTAATGGATTGGTTGAACCCGTACATCTTCGTATATATAATTTAAATTTTAAAAAGTTGGACGTACAAAGATATAGCCAACGGATCTAGAATTTGATTTAAACTCTTTGAGTGTTAGTTTTTAGATTCTTACTAATAAACTCAAATTTATTTAATATCATGGATTTATATCTTAACTTATTGTAATTTAAGTAATTATTATATAACTTTTATATTCCGCAACAAATAATTTTTAATAAAAATGAACCAGTACTAAACATTGCATCAACGTTTATGTGTAATTTCAATATTTCTAATAACGAAAATTCGCAATCGTTATTCTTTGAGTATGCATTTTATTTCTATGCAATAACTCGCAAATCATGTAAAAAAAGTAACTCGCACTAGACATTTTTAATTTCAATTATTGCTAATGAATAATAAGCGTTGTGATAATATTTCACTGATTTTAGTTTCGAATAGATCTTTATATGCTTACCACTCACAATTATATTATTTATTACGTAACATAATGTATAAATTCTGTTACCTCTTTTTATGAATTCAAAAGGAGTATTCATTCATTATCACTATATCAAAATATAATTTTTTATTAAATATATTTAACTTTAAATAATATATATATATATATATATATATTATATATATGTACCGTATAATTATCTAACGAAAAATGTCTAGCTATAAACTATTCGCCCCTAATTATTTGAGCGCACGTTGCTAAGAGATCTCTGCCCCTCAAGTAGAGTAAAAGTGAAGGTTCATGATTGAACTAATTAATTCATGCAGAATTTTTTGATTATCGAACAAAAAGAAAGTTAAGCTTTTAAACCTAAAAATACCAATCTCCACAATCCTTCCACTAGTGGCTGTTTCGTTGTCTGCAACCGAGAAGCAACGAGCATCTCTTTTTTGTGCTTTCGAATTGTAAACTAATTCAAAATTTAAAATTTAATATTTTGACATTAAATAATAACATTTGTAAAAATATAAATTTTTATATACTCCAATTATTTATATTTATTTCTCAAACGAAGAGATGTGACATTTTCTTCTAAAAGCCAAATTCTTAAAAGAGATCTCGACGTGTAAATACAAGAAAGAACCACGCACTCTACTCTATATCTATATTCTACAAAAAGAAAACCAGCCTTGAAACATTGCATTTGAAACAAAAAAACACAAAGGTTATTAAAAATGTTTAGTACTCGTAATTAATAATAATAGTAATTAATTATGTAAACGTGGAGGTTCCCTGCCTACCTGTCACATGAGACGTGTCAAGTTGCTGGCCTTTCAATTCAACTTTAAAAAAATGAATTAAAGCAAGAAGATTTTTTTTCTCTTTCATGTTGAGCGACAACAAAAAGTGAAATTTTAATCCCATTTGGTCTAAAGAAAGATTTGTTTATTGGTGTGTGGAAAATAATAATCTGTACGATTAGTACATGATTAATTATTTTATAGTAGTAAAAGATTTAATCCCATTTGGTCTAAAGAAAGATTTGTTTATTGGTGTGAGGAAAATAATAATCTGTACGATCAGTACATGATTAATTATTTTATATATAGTAATATAAGATCTATGGTCACTTTATTTACTAACATATCAATAATAAAAATTATTTTTTTTTCGTCCAACAATAATTAATTATTATTGACGACATATTCTTAAGAAATCATAAATAGAATGATAATTTTACTATATCATCTTTTTAATATAATAAATATAATGTCTTAAAATATATAATATGAAAATGACTATAATTAGTGATATATAAGGGTAAATTTATCTATTGATTTCATAAAATGGACAAATATTATTCTCTCTATTCTTAGTTACTTGTCTATTTTTAAATTGACACAATGAGTTTACTATTTTACCTCTATTAATTATGAGGTAGATGCATAAAAAAAAGGGTATAAGGCTAAGCGGAACAAAAAGGATTTTCCATGAGATGGGAAATGAAAATTATTTTTTCAACACAAAGTTTGTGAATAAGTGATTTTCTGATAATGAGCAAGAATAGTCGTCATCCTGCTAAATAGAATGGATTGAACTCAGAATTATGTATATCAACTATCATAAGTAAATTGCTTCCAGTTGTTCAACCATTTGATAATTAAAGTTATCTTTTGATAGATGATCACTATAAATTAGATTCAACAGAATTTTGATTTATTAAAATAAAAAGGCAATTACAAATAATTAAATAAATTAATAATTAAAAATAAAAAATATTTTATATTTTAAAATAATATAATGAATAATTATTGTTCGCCGGAAGAAATAGCAAAAGTTGAAGATTGGCGAGGGGTATGTCTAGGTTATTAGAACATAAAGTACTAAATAAATTATGTGAAACCAACGAAGGCAACAAAGTGGATAAGACCTATCAGAATTAGGCAGATGAAAAAGTAAAACCAATGAGAAAAACATCACATGAATAATTTTCTTTTGACTGATTAAGAAATTCATATTGAGTAATTATAATTAGTAGGTACATATAGATTTTTAATTATAGAAATGGACTCGTGGAGATTAAGCAGAGATCGAGGCCAAAAGTGGGGAGATTGGAGACTTGTTGCCATTAGATAGTCGAAACGTGTTAAATTAAAGGATGTATTGATTACTCTTACGTGTTGAGGAATAGTGCATCGTAAAGTGGATATGGAAACATTACGTGTTGAGGAATAGCGAAAAGACAAATATATTTTTGCATGCGATAGAATAGAGTGTGGTGGTTTGGAAGGGGTGGATTGAAAAGTCACCTAAACTTAGTTAGCGTTTTATCAAGTTCTGACAATTTTCAGAAAGATTTTACATTCAGATACAGATGGAAAAGTTTATAAATTTTTTTAGAAGTTATTAGATATTTCAAGAAAGTTTTGAAGAGCTTTAAAAGAAAGACTAAATTTTCTAGGAAATTTTTTAATTTTTTTTTAGATAGTGTAGATAATTTTAAGTTGTTAAACTGTAAATATTTTAGGGATAAGTTACAATTAACTCCTACGTATTAGTATGAATAGAGATATCACTCATTTGTAAGTCATTCAACAAAGTGAAAGCAATCTTTCAAATAATATAATTAAGTCTTTCTTTCAAAATTCTCCAAATTTTTCCTTTTATTCTCTTAGCAAAATTTTCCAAGTCTTTCCTGTCATTCTCATAGCGATTTATGCTTTTGAGTAAGTTATCAAGTGCAATGTGGTACTTGGAGTGAGCACAATAATTACAATTTCATACATCTTGAAGTAAACAAAGTACGTGACTTTGTAATCCTGAATCAATTGTCATCATTTTGATCAATAACCATATCATCATTTTTACATTCCTTGAATATTTCATCACTACATTCGTGTTAACGTAAAAAATTATGTAATACAACGCAAACAACTACAATAGAGGGTGTTTTTATAAAAAATAAGATTTTGGATAAAATTTCAAATTTTAAAAAAATTCAAATAATGAGATTTAATCCAAATACTAGAAAAAACTAGTATTTCAAAATTTGAAATATTTAACAAATAATGACAAACTGTATGGACAAATATTATTTACCAAATATCTTTTTTAAATATTATTTAAAAAATCTATGACCAAACGAACAATTAGTACTTCCACTTTTCTTTATATTTCACTATTACAATTTTAATTTTTATGTTCATTTTTAAAAAATAAGTTAAATTTATCTTAATACCTTATTAGTTATGTAGAAATGTAAGATGGAAATGAATGAATTACTCTTTTAATTTTCTCATATTGGTCAGTTGAGACTAATAATATTTAAATGCGAAATAAAATAAATAGTGTAATTATATATCAATTTTGTATATGACATGCATTAAGTCATGTTTAATTTTGTAAAAATAACATGTATATAGATATGAAGAGAGTGCCTTTGCTCAAAATCTATATATATATTAAGAAATTTATTAAATATCTTATATTTAAATTTTATATTTTATTATTGTTGTAGAATTAATTTGAGGTTGCTGTGAAGCGTAAATCCATTTATGCTATGTGGGTGTGTTTGAAGCATCAGTCTCAGCGTCTCAGCATCAACAGAAAAGAAAAGGGCTGACCGATCGCCGTTCAAGAGAGTTCTCGAAGGCTCAGTGAAAAAGAAAATTAGTATGATTGGGTCGAAATTTCTTAAGAAAAGCAATAATTATAACAATAAACCTAATTTCACGAGTGAGGCTAATGAATTTTAAAAAAAAATAGGTAATAACATCTCAAATATATTCTCTTCTTCGCTTACGTAAAATTATCAGGTACGATTCTTCACTCTCTCCGGTCTCCACTAGCAGGTGTGAGGTCTGTGACTGAGTAGCAACATACTCATTTGTTCTATTTCATTAAGCCAAATATTTTACTTGTTATATTTTTAACTTACTGACCTATCATATA